CCCCAAAACCCCAAAACCCCATGTCTATTGAATAGAAAAAATTGAGGAATTATTAATATTTAATAATTTAAGATCAACTTAAAGATGGAACACTTAGTTTCGTTAAAGATCGAAGATACTTATTAGAGATACCTTATTCTTTAAAAATTAGGATGTGGTGGCTAAGGAAATGTTTACTTAGCTGAAAAACTACATCATCCTTAACGATAATGTGTGGCATTAAAGTAACAAAAACTAGAGGAAATGCTCGGGAAAATAAAAAGTTCAATAATTTAATCACATTAATGCTTAAAATGCTAACTATGCAATCGTTGCAACCATTGCTAGCAATGTAAAACTTGCCAGCATCAGCCTTAGTCAGTACAAGAATTAAAATAATAAAAAGAATCAGAAAATGAGGCGAAGGAAGAATTATCTAGAGAACTCCTTCGGTTACTAAGAGAAATCTCATCAGTTAAGCTAAAACATCTGAATATTGTGGAAATTTTCGACTCCTTTCTCTCAACAGACAGCAAATTTATAACAATAAGTGAGCTAGCTCAACAAGATCTAAAGAATTTCGTTGATCAACGATTCAAATAATAGTAAAAATTGACTTTACAGGAGATATGCATGATTTTCTATCAGCTACTGAATGGTCTTGAGTACATCCATGACCAGAATTTCATACATAGAGATATCTCTCCACAAAATATCCTAGTTTTCTAGGACTAGATAATCAAAATTTGTGATTTCGGATTCGTATCATATGGTGAACAAACTAATGCAAACGTTGGAAAATAAGATTTTGTTGCTCCTGAAGTCTACTCTGGAAATTAAAACTACAACAAATCAATAGATATTTGGTCACTTGGTCTGACTCTCTATTACCTTTGTACTGGATCAACAAAGTATAATAGTAGATCTGCAAATATTTTTGCAAGAGAATAGAATCATATTGTCCTACCTGAAGTGTACAAGGATCTTCAAGCTTTGTTTGATAAAATGATGCAACTAGAGACTTAAAATAGACCTTCAGCTTCCCAGCTTAAAGAAGAATTAATGGCCATTATAGATGAAGGTAGCCCAAATTTCTAAAAATATCAATCATCGCTTTTGACCCATTAGATGAATTAACACAAAAGTAAGCTTTAAAGATAAGAAGAAGAATTTGAAAAGTAAATAAAAAGAAATTTTAAAAGTTAAGTGATTAAGTAAAGTATTGATTATCAGAAGCCTTTGAAATATATTTCTGATGAATTAGATAAATTCTAGCTTTTGGCAAGATCATATATGAATGAAGATGAAGAAGAGAAAGAAGTATATATAAGTTCTATTGAGCAACTATAGAACAAAATCCAGCAATGGAATATGTATGACTTAACTAAACATTCATTTAATCCTATAATTCATAAAACATATTAAGAAATGACTAAAAGAGGTGATGGAGAATTTAATATTATTGTTGATTTGATACGATATTTAAAGTAGGTTTTAAATATTTAACTGGTCATTTTTATAGATAAGACTGTAGAATATTAGACCAAAATCTACAACTTATAACAGAATTAGATTATAAAGTAAGACTTTTACATGAACAGAATGGTAATGTGTTGCTTAGCTATAGAGATAATATAAGTAAACTAATAGGAATAGATAAATTTTAGCCATCAGTTTAAAAGGATATCTATAAGGGTAGTGATTATATTAATAAATTATTGAAAATGAATGATGATATATTTATCACTGGATAGGATGAAGGATATATTGAGTTATTTAGTCTTTCAAATCACTAATTCAAATCTACATTCTA